AACGCATTTGTCAAGAGCAAGAAGCCAAAAACTAAGTTGTGGATACGCACCCCTCCCCCTGCTCTGCCCGTGGGGCACCTGTGCCTCTCTAGACCTGAACCACTTGGGTGGAGGTTCAGAGGCCTTTTCACCTCTCACTCGGCGTCTGGGGTCTCGGAGAGAGATGAGGGGTCATCAGGGATGACTGCTGACCGCTCCGTCCCCACGCTCCAATTGGAAACGGTGGCTGTTTGCCCACAGATGGACAGAAGACCTCTTTCATCACAGTGCCAGCTCACACCCACACCGTGCAGAATCCCACCGGCACAGAGGTGCAGAGCCAAAGGCCGAGTCGCACGGAGAGATGGACGCACTCATGAGAGTCTGGCACCCAGCACAGTTCCAGCCACGAGGCCCCACACACCCATCCTCACTCAAAACCGGAAGGGCTTTCTGCACATCAGGCCTGCTGTGCGAGGTCCTTTCCTTTCTGCCGCTCCTCTGAGGCTGCACCTGTGCTCTCAGCCTCCCCCCTGTGAAACAGCTAGGCTCCCTTTCAAACCCTTGGGAACTCGGAGCTTCCTGGCTCTCTTGACAAGAAGGAAAACCTCTGTCCATCGAAGTCGCCTGTTCCCTGATTTTAGGAGCCGGGACCAGGCGGGCAAGCCCTTAGATGCCCTTGAACCAGAGGAATCATCGCAAACCTCAACCCTTTCCCTTTCTGTCTTCCCCTTTCTCCTTTCCTTTTATTCTTTCTCAGAGGAACTTTACCTATTTGTGCCTCCATCGGAGTAAACTGGTCCATCAGGGAAAAGTATTCAAGTTCCAGTTTCCCAATCTGGCACTCGAATTCAAGGCCAGCTGGTCTCTTTCTAACAAGAACTGATGTGCACTGGGCGCCCCACTGGCTGCGGGGCCCTGGGCCCACTGGCCAAGCCAGGGCTACTTGGCCGCTCAGGGCAGCCTCGTCCAGCAGATCCCGGGCCCCTCGGCAGGCCGGGCACAGCGGGGTGCCAGCCACAGTGGGCTCCCTTTCTTCCCTTGCTCTTTTGTCCAGGGAGGGACTGCGGCCGCATTAGGGGCCATGAATGTCAATAGCCCGCCCCTGCCCCAGCTCAGAGCGGCTCTCACTTGGGGCTGCCCGGCCCCACCCCCACTCCAGCGAGGCCGGGGGGTGGGGTGGGGGGCTGGGCCTCCCTCGCTGGGAGTTGTCTTTGGAAGCGGGCTTCATCCCTGAAGTTCATCTTCAACGTTGGGACCGCCTGCCGGGCACTGGTTAGAGACCTGGGCTAGGAATGCCGGGGCACACACCGGCAGGAACCGGGAGAAGCCCCTGGGAGGAGAAGGCGTCCCCAACCTCTCCAGAGCCACTGTCTTCCCGATTCTCTGTGCACTACTTTCCCGCATCTGTGTTTTGGGGCCCTCTTTCCCGGGTCAGTCTTTGTGGCTTTAGGTCTTCTAATGTCACGTGGCCCCCACAGCCCCATGTTGCATACAAGAAGTCTCAGAAGCGAGCTGCACCGGGAGGAAAGCCTTGCCCTTCCTCCTCTCCAAACTTTCCCGACTGGAAACAAAAGCAAGACCCGGTCCCCAGCGGGCGTGCAGGCGCTTGAAAAATAACCTCCTCCTTAAAGATCCGAAGGAGAGCCGGGCGGGGAAGCCGCGCTCAGGGCGGGGAGAGGGTGTGTGGCGCGGGAAGTCGTCCCCCACCGCGATCCACGACCCAGTGTGTCTGGGAACTTGGCCTCCCCCCCCCGCACCCCGCCGCCTGCAAACGCCGAAGAGCAAGGCCCCCCCCCCCGCCCTGGCGTCGCGGGGCTGAGTCACGCAGCGGCCCCGGCTAATTTTTATTGATTGCAGCGGTCAGTCAACTGTCAGGCGGGGTTTCAAGGGACCGTTTAGAGAGCCCGTGCAGGTCTGGTTAACAAATTCATTTAGAGACCCGAGGGCCAGCTCCTCCTTCCTCGCCCCCACACCAAGTTTCCTATAAATAATTGATCGACACCAGCACTAGCAGCCAAAACGCCACCGACCTCGGGGACCAGCGCCCCGTAGGCTGCACGGGCAGGGCCCACGACGGCTACCCCAGCAGCCCAGGTTCCACGCTCAGGGTCGCACCCCCCTGGTCCTTGGGGTTCCACCTGGGGGCCTGGGAGCCTCAGGCCGTGGCCTACGACTTCTCCACTCGAAGCCGGGCCCTCAGGGGCCGGCCGCCGGGGAGAGTGGGAAAACGCGGGCTCCGCCCCTCCGGCCCTGCAGGTCCCTACCTTTGTCGCCCAGGATGCCATCTATGCTGTGTTTGGCCTTCTTTTCACCGTCGTCCTCCTTCTTGTCCGCTTCCTCATCCTCCTCTTTCCTCCCGAACTTGATCCTGAGCACGCGGCTAATCGAACTCACTAAACCTCAGAAATTCAAAGGCAAAAGAGCGAGTATAAGTTGTTGGGGCCAAACAGCCCGCGGTGGGGAGGACCCTGGGTGACAGTCGCTGTGCCCCTCCTGCCCCTCCTCGCGGACAGGAGAGCCACCACCCTGCGGGCAGCGAGCAAGTGCACCCACGCCGGCAGGAAGACTCAGGACAGCCCAGCCACACCGAGGGCCACTCCCGGGTGGCCCAGAGCTCAGGCATGGCAGAGGCGCCCACCTCACCCGTTCCCGTGCACACCCTGACACACTCCCGTGCCTTGCACACCCACGTGCAGCTGCTTTCCCTTCCACAAGCTGCCTGGTTGGGGACTTTCGTATCTGGAACTCACTGGCAGAAGCGATGACGGGGCCGAGAGGGCGGCCCTTGGGTCTCAGCCTTCCCGGGGC